TGTCAGCCCTCTGTAGCAGCCGGCTCCAGGAAAGGTTTGCCACCAGCATCGCCTTGTGTCCTCTGATGGAATGGAAGCGGCTCTCAGCCCCCTCCTTCCCCCCCAGCCCCGTCACCGGAGCGCTCCGAAGACGTATGACACCAATATATGGGCAGGACAGCATTGCTGTGAGGATCCGTTAGTGCAATAATATATCTTCACAGCCGCAGGGCTGTCCAGAAACAACAGGACGGGCGTTCGCTTCGGTCGTATCGCACACACACACGCCCTGACGGCACAGGGAATGTGCTGGAGGAGAGGAGTCACCATGGGAATATGTTCACGTCTAAATTCAGGCTAATTTCTGGAAAAGTGTAGCTTTCCCCAGTGTTAGTGAAAAATCTGTTAATTTGCATGTGCTGAACCATTTTCACAGGGGTTTGGATTCCGCCCCCCCCCCCTCAAATGCTTCAGCATCACTGGAACCAGAATGGAATGAACAACAAGAGTGTCCTGGTGCTGGGGATTTGCCTTTCACCCAACAGGGGAAATTCTGCCTTCATTCAGCTCAATTCATCGTTTCTGGAAGCCTGCTCTCCCAAACCCATGCGTATACATACTTCCTGTTTATCCGCAAGTTTTAGGAAAATAACTGGAAACCAGACTGGAAGTGATGGGATAAAACTGTGCGAAAAGGGCAAGAGCACAGGGCAGAACAGGAAAGCGTGAAACTTGAAGTCACCAGGGGTGATGGTGAGGGTCCACGCTGAGCTGTCACAAAGTCAGGACAGTGACGCTCCTGCACACCACACAGAGCTACAAATAAAGCAGGAGATTCCTATGCTTCAGCCTATTTTTTTTTCCCCTTCTTATTTTTTTCTGTCCGCAGGCAGTGGCTGTGTAACCCGCTGGCAGAAGGTGCATCAGCACATCTGTCTCCCTGCCCAGCCAGGGATGTTCAGTCTCTCCGCCAGTGGGTAGTGGGTGTGGCGACTGAAACATCTAAATGCAGCTGGGATTCATTTGAAGCACCTTGTTTCTCCCAGCTATTTATCTAGTTTGGCAAAACACAACTGTACACACCCAGTCACCCCATCAGCTCTGCCCGCACCCACCGCCTCCATCCCATGAGAGGCGGCCACTTCGAGGATTCCCCACATCTCTCCATCAAATAATTTAAGGTTAATTCAAATATTAAAAAATGAAAAACCTCCGTACCCTGAACATCAGGCTATGGGGAGAACATTCAAAAAGTGTCATTTTGTTTTAAGGTAGCAAAAGTTCTGCTTTTTCCATCAGACTTTTTGAGACTGTGGATGGAACTTATTTTGTATTTAGCTAAACCCAGGAAATTTCAGCCTTTCCTAAGAAGCCTGTTCTAAGCAGGGAAGGGCTCAGGTGCCGTATGCTTTGCTGCTGGCCCAGGCTTGCCTCTGCAGTCCAGCCATGGCTGCTCTGCTGGGCATCGCTCAAGCATCGCCTGAGCATCACCTGAGCATCGTTCGAGCATCGTCTGAGCATTGCCTGAGCATCACCTGAGCATTGCCTGAGCATCTCCCGCGCATCGCCTGAGCATTGCCTGACCATCACCTGAGCATCATTCGAGCATTGCCTGAGAATTGCCTGAGCATCTCCCGTGCATCTCCTGAGCATCTCCTGAGCATCACCTGAGCATCGTTCGAGCATCGCCTGAGCATCTCCCATGCATCACCCAAGTATCATCTGAACATTGCCTGAGCATCACCCGAGCATCCCAGCCATCGGTCCCTCTGGCCGGCAATGGGGAAAACTCTCCTTTGGAAAGTTTGTCAAAACCAAAGTGGAAAAGAGTTTCAACACGCAGCACCCAAACTTCGCGAAGCAGTCACACTTCATCAGGGATTTCTGAAGGGCTTTTGTTGTTCCTGCTCCTGCCACCGCTGGCAGAGCTCGCTTTTCAAAGGCAGCAACGCAACACACACACACTGAGCGTGCAAGGGGCGAAAGCTGGAGCTCTGTTTCAGGCAGACCTTGATTCTTTAACATTCTGGTTTCATTCTTAAACTATTGATGCTGCACTTTGCTCTTAAATGTCAGAACAAAATAAGTAATACCTGCAATTTATTCAGATGACATTTCAACAATGCGAGATTTTCAGATTACAGACTACAGCCCTGTGTTCCTTACAGTGTTACACTGAGTGTGTAGATTTTGTGGATTTACATAATGGCTTTGTATAATGAATATTTATATAATGAATGCATTTACATAATGACTGCAAGTTCAACATGCACAATAAAGATTCCAGGCCAATAATTTATGTACCAAGGTAAAAATCACCTCTAAATACATTTTATTTTTATTCCTACGGAAGGTTCATTTTATCCCTTGTTCAAAAAAATTGAATCCAACCTTCCCCAGGTAAAGGCTGCATTGATGCAAATTATGATAATATTTTGGAATTAGTCTACATTGGATGATTTGTATTCAGAGATTTCAGTTTCTTATCTTTTAGTTGCAGCTTTGACAAACAATTTCAGAATATCCTAAATATGATTTGTTAATAGCATTTAGTGTTGTATTCCAGCTGTGATGCTTGCCTGTAAGCCTCATTAGAGCTGCTGGGAGTTACAGGAGAAAACTGGTAGAAATTACAAAGTGCAGCTGAAGCTTATGTTTAGATAAAGGTAATTTGCTGCAGACAGAATAGAAACTGTTACAGAAATCTGGTGGTTTCCACTCTCTCGCATTTTGTTTTCTAATAAATCCAGGCTTCTTGTTTGCCAGGCTGGTGTGCGATTCGGTGGGAGCCCCATTTATAACTGTCTGTGCACCCGAACATACACCTGAGCACCAAAGTGCTGCCCTGTTCCCCAAATAGAAAAATTCTTCTTTGTTTGGCAGCCTGGCAGACAGAACATATTCTGTAAATTATATCTTTGCTTCCATCACATTTTACAGGATTTTTTGAGCAAAAAGTTATTTAGATCCCTTGTTCTCCCAGTGCAGACAGAGTTGTGTCCATTCATCAGCGAGGGGACACCCGAGGCACGTCCCAGCGCTCTGCAGCAGCCGCATCCGTGCCCACCTCTCGTTAGAAACGGGTTTTGTAACGATGCAGCCGTGTAACACTGCTTTTGCAATGAGTTTGCAAGGCCTCGGCACTGAGGCTTGTCAGAGCATCTCTGCCTGGACTTGTCCTTGTCCCTGGGATCCCTGGTTCCCCCGTTTTACCTTGGCTTTCCCATGGTCTGACCGTGGTTTTACCCAGCCAGCAGGAGCAAGCAGTTATCCTATGCGTAACCAGGTTTTTGTGTCCATTGCACAATGATGCAATGCAGAGGAACTCGGGTGGGTGTGGGACACGGGACATGGAGCAGGGAGGCAGGATGGACATGGGCAGGAGCGGGATCAGCTGGTCTCCAGAGCTCTCTGCCCAACTCCACCACTCTGCTGTTCAATTCTGCCATTTTCCTTTTTTTTTTTTTTTTTTAGTATCAGATTTGTTAAGCCCACGTTTGTGTTCCATCTAACCTCCTGCTTCCTGGGGAGGGAGGACGGCGCAAGACCAACCCAACCAGCCACTGTCCCCAAGGCAGATCCCAAAAGGAGAAGGTGTCTGGGCTCTGCAGGACTGCGGCCAAATTTCATTTTCTGTTCTCGTTGCGGTGAATGTAATGGGTCTGCAGCTGAAAGCTCACATTTTTCCTCTCAGTCCTCATTCTCAGCCCTTTGGTCAAGACACAAAATCAGTGGGTTGGTGGAAAGCCCTTGTGATTGCGTGCACTCATTTTGTTTGAATTCAAGATGAGGAGGATCCGATTCCTCCTCCGACCCCTTCTCCAGCCTGAGAGCACTAATTCTCCTTTGCTGCTTTTTTCCTCTCCAGGAAAATTGTAGCAGCTCCTTTCTGTAGGCAATCTGATGCTTTAAGCCATTACTCTAAAGTAGCACCACAGTTTCCAATAAAATTTTATTTGACATTTAGTTAAAATCCATTTTCTGCTACAACTGATTTTTTTTCCTTAGTCCCTTGATGGACACTTCGAGCAGAATTCATTGTCATTGTCTTAAAGGTCAAAAGTCTGGTTTTATTTTCAGATCTTGCTTTGTAAAGCAAACTCTTACTGAGGATTATGAGAGAGTGCAGCAAGCTGTGACGGTCCACGAGGCCATTCTTCCCAGCAATTACATGGGTTTCAGAGAGTTGTGTGAGCAAACAGAAAGAGTTTCACTGCAAAATCAATTATCGCCGTAGAGTCCCTATGAAAGACCCAGAGCAGCACCAGTCCTGCATGCAAGAACCAGCTGGAAGTGGGGAGTGGCTCCTCTCAGACACACAAAACCCACCAGGATTCTGGAGCAGGGATCTCCCCACCTCGGAGAGAGACGGATCCTGCTCCGCTCACAGGGATGCAGCTCCAGGGCTCTGCACCGAGTCAGCCAGAGATGCCTGGGATGTCAGCTAAGAGTTTCCCTTTAGGCATGTTACTAGTTCTTAAAAGTATAAACGGAAATAGTAAATAGAAACTAAGCTTTTAGCTGCCATTTCGTTGGCAGTTTTTCATATCTATAATTTAATTTATTCAATGAAGCCGTTCTAATAAACTATGCTGTATCATGGAATAATGGTGCAACGGCGGTTACATGAAATTAAATCTCTTGTATGATGTGCCAAAGTTTTTAACTTTCACGCCTACTTCTAGAGAGACCTGTGTGTTCTTGATTATTTCCTTGTTTTGGTTTTAATTGGAATTGTTGGATAAATGTCTGCAGCCTGTAAAACCAGGCTTAAAAATGTGTTCATGTAAATTCAGATAAATATAGTTAGAGTGCCTTTATTTCTACATTGTTACGATAGTATCATAGTTTTCACTGATTTTAGCTGAAATCTGAAATTTTTATTTTCTGAAATTCAAGTCAGGCACACCCTTTTTAAGGCACCCAAAAGTGGTGGTGTCACCCTTCCCAAACTGCAAATGCGAAGCCCGGTGCTGGAGAGCAGCTGCAGAAAGCTGCAGGTGAAGGGTAGCTGTGCTTACCGGACGGAGAGATGTGTCTCCAGGAAATGGAAGGCTCTGGCTTCCCCGTGGCCAGGCACACCAGCGTGACGTTGCTTCCTTCGTTCACAACGAGGTCACTCGAGATACGAAATATCTTCGGAGAAACTGGAATGAAAGAAGGAGAAAGTCGTAAGGGAAAGCTGGGGAATGGGCACAATCCTGCTGGAGCACGGATGGCTGGGGAGAGCTGGGACACCCGTACTGCCACTACAGATAAAAACATGAAGCTGTTGTTGAAATATAATTATGCAAAAACCTTGTCTAGGTGAGGCCACAGAAGCTCAGCCATGGATTTGAAATGCCACCAACAGGAGAGCGGCAATTTCCCCTATCCTGTGCAAAGCAGGTGTTGCTACCCAGTCCCCAGCCAACCGCTACTGATGGATGCTCCTGTTCAAGAGAAGGCTGGGCTTGCTCATGACAGTTTGAAGTATGTGGCAATGGGTAACGTGGCAAAGACAGGGGCTTTAGTCAGTCTACAATATTTAAAAAATATCTTCCTAAATCTGAGCTGCTTATTTCTTTATCCTTCAGGAATGAACATACTTCCAGAAAGTCAAGTGAAGCAATCAAATAACGCAAAGCAGTTCTTCTCACAAGCAAATAGATACAATTGACTGATGCAATATCTGTTTGGAACTGTGGAAATATCTGCCAGATTAACTAAATGTTACAGTGTATGAGTTCCAACAGCATTAAACTTCTTATTCGAGGTTCTGCACCTTTGAAGGTAGAAAAAGAGAGAGATTTGCTCATGTGCTGGTGCTACTGAAGCAGCACCACAGAGGGATTTTTCACGCCTGCCACCTAATGCTGTTTATCCGGGTGATTTTTATTTGCCTTAAACATGTCACTAAACACTTCAGTGGGAATGAGGAGGTTTTGGCATGCTCTGCTGCTGGACCTTCAGCACGACCACGGCAGGTCTGTGAGCAGAGCGGCATTGCTGTGGTTTAACCCACTCGGCTGGCAGCAAACCCCACGCAGCTGCTCGCTCACCCTCCTCCGGTGATGGGGGGCAGAATTAAAGGGTGAAGGGAAAAGAGACTTGTGGGTTGAGATAAGAACAATTTAAGAACTAAACTACAATAAAACTGAGAATAATAATAATAATAATAACAGTAATATATACAAATATACAAATGAGTGACACACAGTGACACTGCTCACCACCCCATGGCCAAGGCTCAGCCCTTTCCTGGCTAACGATCCCAGAGCAGAGAGTCCCAAAACCACAATCCCAGAACAGACCAAGAGCTGACCGAGAGAGTGAGACAACCCCAAGAGAGGGGTGACCCCCCTCTTGGCAACACTTGGAAAACAATTTGAAAACGATTCTACATGTAAGCCACAGTTATGGAGCCCAGAATTTGATACGGACAAAATTCAACTGTATTAACAGGTCTATGGAACATATGGCCAGAGGGGCCACCAGGATCATTTAGTCTGAACTCAGATAATCACAGGCTCTAGAGATTTTCCCAGAAGCCTGACAAAAGTATATGTTTTACAAAGCTGTCCAGTCTTATCCCCACCACTCCAGGTGATGCTCACACTGCCATGCCTGGTAAGCACTTCCAGCGATTAAATACCCCCTCGCTGCCAGGAAATAGCATCTTAGTTCAAAATTGCATTCAGCTAGATCCAGCTTTCTGAAATCAGATCTTATTATGTTTTTGTCCGCAAGACTGAAAATCCCCCTTGCTATGAAGTATCTTTTCTGTGGCTAAGGACCTGTGCAACTCGATAAATCAACTCTTCATCTTTCTCTGCAAAAGATTTGAGCACCACCAGCTTCATTTTTGTAAGGCTTTCTGGATAATATTTGTTTCTCTCCTTCGAGGACTCTCAGAATTATCCAAAATGTGAGCAGTGGAACAAGGTGTACTTGCCCAGCAAGAGCCTTGCCAGTGCTGGGTACAGAGGCAAACCCACGACTCCACCTCCACTTTATTTCCTCTCTCCCTGGGCAGTTATTATAACCCTGACCGCTCAGTCTAATGGCATCCCCTGGCTGATGTTACAGCAGCTCTGTCAAGACTTTCCCAACCCAAACCTCCCCACCGTGGCTGACACAGAGCTGCTTTTCCACCCCTTCTTTGGAGGAGCTGCTTTTTCCGACCAGATCTGCTGCCCCTGAAACCTGACTGATGGATGCTAATAAGAATTGAGTCTCTGGCTGACAACATTTTTCAGCTCCTACTTCTTCCTGGAGCCCAGAATTACAAGTGCCATTATTTTGCAGGGGATTGACACTGAGTCTATAGTTCATCGCAGGGTCTCATTTCTCATTCTCAAGGGCTGGAATTGTGTTCTCGGTGACGTTCGTGTGGACAGAAGTGATGCTGCACAATAAAGCTCACTAGTGTTGTGGAAATGGCCGTAGGGTAGAGCTGCTTTTTTTAGCTGCCGCTGCTTTTTGAACATGGGAAAGAACATCTTGTTTCCAGCACAATTTAAAATTATCAGGTGAATAACCTGGGGCCTCAGCATAAGTGCTCCCCTCTTGTTTCTTAAAGTATACTCCCCCTGTCGAAATGTCCAACCAAAGTCTATGTGGTGTCGAGATTACAACGTCTGTGGCTGGACATACAGCTTTGTTTCTTCAGCAGGTTTCCCCAGATGAAGGTGATGATGAATTATGAACTACACTGTGTACAGTAACATTTACTAAACCATCTGGTAGCCAAGTCCTTTTTCAGATGATAATGTAACCAATCCCATTTTATATAGAGGATACAGCCACTCCCGACGGAACATCTGAAAACTATGGGAGGAACTGTACTATGAGGACAGATTATGAGTACCCCAAGGCAGGGGGTTGGAGCTAGATGATCCCTAAGGTCCCTCCCAACCCAAACCATTCTGTGACTCTGTGTCTGGGAGTTTGGCAGGAGAAGTTTTACCACCCCAACCTCCGGAATCACCTGCTTCAGCCCTCCCAGGTATTGCAAGCATGGCTTTTGTGCTCATGTTCCTTAGCTGCATCTTCCTTCGCTTGCTTTTCAATAAAGGGTGACCATTTTTGTGAAAGTATGATATAGCCTCTTTTTGAGAATCCCCAGTACCCATAAATTCTTCATCCAAATGCTGGGCTGCACTCCCCACCTCTCTGTCTGCAAAAATAATTTGATTTTTTTCCTAACTACAATTTCATAATGAAGCAATAAACACAGAGAGGGGAAGAGAAGTTGCTCTCAGCATGTTAACTGACCATTTCTTTTTGGACTGGAATCAATTTCCTGACCAATCCATCTGTGCAAATGCTTATGCGTTTCTAACCGTGAATGGGCAAACAGCACCGTGCACAGGGGTTTGCAAACCGCTATTCCCCACCTTCCAGAGCCCTCCCCACCCCGGGGATCCGCAGGGGCGGGGGGCAATGCAACGTCCTCATGGCACAGCCCTGGCAGGTTTTCTCTCTTTTACAGATTTTCTGATACCGCTGCCTGCAGCGATGGGTGCAGATGGGATGCAGCAGCTTTTGGCATTCCCGTGCGCACAGAAGGAATTTGCTCCTTCAGATAACATTCCCTCCTCCTTCCCATGGATCCCAGAGTTGGACATTTTCACCCGAAGGGCAAATCAACACCATCAATCCTCCTTCTGCAGCTGTTTGGAGCCTATGGGGTATGAGCACACACAGCCCTGGTTGGTGGTACTCCACGCTCCCTTCCATTATTTCCAAAATATGCAACGGCTGCATACAATTTTTAAACATGCAGTAATTTATAATAGTGCTTATACTACCTATGAGGCTACAGTTATAAATATGTAAGGTCTCTTGCATTTTTATCAGGGACAGGGGAGCTCTCTGGTGCACGGATTCCTCCCCAATGTCACGCTCCACGATGGTCTTTCTGGTGGCCGGCGGGTGCACCCAGGGCTCGGAAGGGCATTGCCTTTCCCTGTAACACCACAGAGACCACTGCACCAACTGCCTGCTACAGCACCTGCCTCTCTGCCTTCAGTAGCTGTGCCTGTATCTCAGAGAACTCTTTTTCCTCGTGTCCTGTTAGATGGTCTATCACAGACCTACAACTGAGCTTTAAATAAAAAAAAAAAAGAAAAAAAGAAGAAATTGCAGGTGGGAAGCTCTCTGACTGCAACATGGTGCTGGAGCCCTGTTTTTATACCCCATGATTTTCTGTACTCAACGTTGTACCGCACACAGACCCCATCGTCCTTGCCTTGAGGGACACAAGATCCCAGCGCACAAACCCTCTCCAGATCTTGCTGAAGACTGGAAGGTGTCATCCAGACTCAGCGTGCACATCGTTGTTTCTTTTTGAGGCTTACCATAGAATCCCAGAATGGCTGTAAGGGACCTTAAAGCCCATCCAGTGCCACCCCCTGCCATGGGCAGGGACACCTCCCACCAGCCCAGGTTGCCCAAAGCCTCATCCAGCCTGGCCTTGAACCCCTCCAGGGATGGGGCACCCACAGCTTCCCTGGGCAACCTGGGCCACTGCTTCACCCCCCGCACAGGAAAACATTTCTTCCTAATATCTAATTCCTAATCCTCTTTATCCTCAGGAATTTTGCAGTCTTTCTAAGAGAAGATTTGAACTGGGACATGGTAGAAGATGGAGAATTTTCCAGATGTACACAGTGCAGATGAAGTGATTTTCTCTTAAGTACGTGCTTTGTTCATTTTCTAATTGACCGAGTTCTGCTTTAATCTAGATTTTATAGGGGGGAAATTAAATAAAATCTAGTAGAAGATATCTCTAAGTCTTATTACAATGAAACTGAGCCAACTGCATCATTTATGCACTTACAAAATAGAATTAAAAAAATAAATGAATGCAAGCAATACGTTAGCTCAAGTAACACACCAGTAAACACAGCGGCGCAGTCCTGTTCTATAATGCAGTCCTGTAAAATTACAGAAATGATACGATATGGTCTGGTACTCAGGAAAAACTGCAGATTATATTTTCATCAATAATCTCCTAGGAAGATCTTCTTTCCCATGATAGAAATTGTCTTCTAGAGTAAGTATTTCTGGAACCTCACAGTTTGAGACACATAGTGATTTCTGGCGAAGTGGTATGCTGCTGATTTTTCTGCTATTTACTGACTGTTAGGAGTCACTACATCCA